ACAAGACTGTCTTTCCCATTTGCCCCCTTGGGGCGGGATGGCAGACCAGAGAGGCCTAGCTTGTGGCTAGGCCTGGGGACAGTTGGTCCCAAAGATGAGGAGGTACTTGTGCCTCCTCCCATGGGAGACTTAGGTCTCGGACACTCCCTAAAGAGGGAGCCAAGGCCGGGCCACCACTTGGAAAAGGCCCGGGCCGGGAGAATACCGGCGAATCTTTAACTAACTAACTAACCTGTTTCTGCACTGCAAATCATTGATTGTATTCGATTTGATCGGATTATATTATACATTGTTATGCTACAAATTTGTACAACTTTAATGCTTCTTATTTGAAATACTCATTTGTACTTCATGTTGTAATTTGTTTACTGTGATTTTTACCAATCATTATATTTCTTTGTTCAACTATGTATCATGTCCAAATAAAATAAATAAATAAATAAATGTGCCCTGATGCATCATAACACCAATCATTGATTGATTGGCCCGGTGGCCCGGTGGCCTGGTGACTAAAGCTCCCGCTTCACACACGGAGGGCCCGGGTTCGATTCCCGGCGGGTGGAAACATTCGACACGTTTCCTTACACCTGTTGTCCTGTTCACCTAGCAGCAAATAGGTACCTGGGTGTTAGTCGACTGGTGTGGGTCGCATCCTGGGGGACAAGATTAAGGACCCCAATGGAAATAAGTTAGACAGTCCTCGATGACGCACTGACTTTCTTGGGTTATCCTGGGTGGCTAACCCTCCGGGGTTAAAAATCCGAACGAAATCTTATTGTTAACAGTGGTTTTTCTGACAGGAAACATGCAAATGATCGCCTGAAGCAATATGAGCGGTCGAAGGAACATCTTGACTTAACCACTGCATTTCATGCTAGATCAGAAGTGTCCACACGGATTGATGATGAAATGATTTAGCAGACTGAGCAACGAGAATGATATTGGCGGTTAGTATTGAAGCGTTTGGTCAGCATTATCAAAATGATTGCTGAACGTGTCTTGCCATTCAGGGGAGACAATGAAAGCAAGTTTTGAACGAAATAATCCAACGAGCAAAAAAAAAAAAAGCAAGTATTATTGAATTTCCCTCGACTCCACGCCTAACGAAAGCCAAGTCGATCAGCTTGTTGCACTTGTATTGCGTTATGTAGAGAATAATGAGCCTGTTGAAAGATTTGTTATGCTCATGCCGAACAAGGGCCACAAAGCACAGGACATGTTCGATGCAATGCTGCAGTTCTCCAATTACACGAAATCGAAATAGACATCAATAACTGCCGTGGTCAGACCTACGACAATGCCAATTCAATGAGCGGCATGTACAATGGTCTACGGGCCAAAGCGCTGCAAGAGAGCAGACACGCAAAATGGGTTCCTTGCACAGCTCATTCGCTGAACCTAGTTGGGAAAAATGCAGCCGAATGTTGTACTGGAGCAATCCATTACTCTGATTTCCTTCAGAAGCTTTATGAGTTTTTTTTATTTCACCACATCGGCAAAAAATTCTAACAGATGGTCTGGAAAGTGTATATAGTATTTCCTTGACTGTGAAATGGGTTACAACAACGCTTTGGTCTTGCCGGATTTGGTTAAAATGAAATCAGAAATGCTTTGGAAAACATGAGAAATGACGTTGGTGAAAGGGCCTGTGTACGCTGTGAAGCACATGGATTACCAGGAATTTTTACTGCTTTCTGGAGTGACATTCTTCGACGAGCGAATTTAAAAAATCGAGGGCTGCGAAGCATAAAAACTAGATCCTAATGTTGAACTTGCTTCATTGGCTAGTCTGAAAGACTTTGTGCTGTCTAAAATTGACTGTTTTGACAGTTATAAGAGACAAGGTCAACAACTGTCGGGTTCTGCAGACTATGGTCACGCAGAGCAAGCAAGCATGAACCCCTCTGGAAAATTTAGGGTAGAGAATTTCATTCCTGTCATCGATCAGTTAGCAGCTTCACTTGATCAATGTTTGCATGCATATGAGCTGATGTCAGCTCGGTTCAGCTGCTTCGGGCGATTGACGGAGTTATCGCCCAAAGAGCTGACAAGAGCAGCACAAAACTTATTGGAAGTATATCACAAAGACATTCATGCGAACGAAGAGCCCAAAGACACGAGCACAGAATTATTTCTTCACAAGCTCATCCACACAAAAACATGTGGTTCACATTTTCCCAAATCTTGAAGTCGCATTGAGAATGTACCTTGTAGTGATGGTAAGCAATTGCAGTGCAAAATGTTCCTTTTCAAAAGTTAAAATTATTGAGAACCGGCTACGAAGGATCATGAAGCAAGGGCGGCTTGTGAACCTGATTTTGATGGAGTCATCAGAGACTTTTCCATCAGAAAAGCACGGAATGTACCTAGCTTATAATATTTTATCTGATTGAAGATAACTCCTCATAAGTCTGTAGATTACTTTTGAGTTACACTTGCAAATTAACCGAAAGGCTGCTAAAATACGCTATAAATTCAATTTATTGTTTCATTTCTTCATCTTAAGCGGATGGTACGTATATTGAGAATAACAAAAGCTTTCCAAGGAGAAACTAAAAAGTCTTCTAACCATTAGAGTTAGACCTTTTAAATGCAAGGGGTCCCCCACCAAAATGAGCCCCGCGCCCCCCACCAACTAAATCCGGCACTGATAGCAGGTGTAAGGAAACATGCCCAACATTTCTACACATACTGGGGACTGAACCCCGGACACTCAGTGTGTATACCTGGAGAGGGTTTCGTGGGTCAATGCCCCCGTGGCTCGGTCTGGGACCAGGCCTCATGGTGGATCAGGGCCTGATCAATCAGACTGTTACAGTTGGCAGCAGGCAGCCCGACGTACAAACCACAGCCTGGCTGGTCAGGTACTGACTTTAGGTGCCTGTCCAGCACCTTCTTGAAGAGAGCCAGGGGTCTATTGGTAATCCCCCTTATGTATGCTAGGAGGCAGCTGAACAGTCTTGGGCCCCTCACATTTATTGTGTTGTCTCCTATCGTGCTAGTGGCACCCCTGCTTTTCATTGGGGGGATGTTACATCGTCTGTCGAGCCGTTTGCTTTCATAGGGAGTGATTTTCGTGTGTAAGTTTGGTACTAATCCCTCTAGGATCTTCCAAGTGTATATAATCATGTATCTTTCCCACCGGCGTTCTAGGGAGTACAGGTTCAGGAACTTCAAGCGTTCCTAGTAATTTAGGTGTTTCATGGCAGTTATGTGCACCGTGAAGGTTCTCTGTACATTTTCCCCCTCAAGGAAGGTTCCTTGATGTTGGTGAGGGGCTCTTGATTTAGGGAATTGGATCTGTGCTCCAGTTCCCCGAATTAAGCCTGAATGCCTTCCACATATCCCCCCCCCCCAGGCGCTGTATAATCCTCCGGGTTTAGCGCTTCCCCCTTGATTATAATAATAATAATAATAATCTGTACATTTTCTAGGTCAGCAATTTCACCTGCCCTGAAAGTGCTGTTAATGTGCAGCAATATTCCAGCCTAGATAGAACAAGCTACCTAACAATGTTATAGTACAAGTGCATTATCTTTGTATGACATACAAAAAATAAAAATTTAAATTTGACTTTTGTAAATTAGCCTCGATTTGCATTTAAAAATATGCGCCTGTTTCCTTGCTAAATTCTTTAGTAATTGGAGAGTTTTAAAAGAATAAAAAAATAAGATATTAGAATAATAGTAAACGGATCATTTCACTTATTTTTTGTTTTTTATGTAAATTGAGAGTTTCTTGTTTTATTATTAGTAGAAAATATAGATTTTGTTTTGAAGTTGTTGAGGTGGCCATCAAAGTGTAAACAAGATCAGCTGGGTCGCCTGTACGCTCTTATTTAACCATTTTTAAGTGAGTTCCCATCGTTTTTTGGATTTGCTGGGGTCCAAAATGGACTATACCATGAGAGGAGGACGGCAGCGTAAGTGTACGTACTGCGAGATACATGAAGTAGATCTAAAATTGTGTTTTGAAGAGTGATGTATATCCCTCCCCCGGCTTGCACATAACACGTCATTAGTGGGGGTATCAGTCTAGTGGTGGTATCAGTCTAGTGGTGGTATCAGTCTAGCGGGGTTATCAGTCTAGTGGTGGTATCAGTCTAGTGGTAGTATCAGTCTAGTGGTGGTATCAGTCTAGTGGTGGTATCAGTCTAGTGGTAGTATCAGTAGCGGGGGTATCAGTCTAGTGGTATCAGTCTAGTGGTGGTATCAGTCTAGTGGTGGTATCAGTCTAGTGGGGGTATCAGTCTAGTGGTGGTATCAGTCTAGTGGTGGTATCAGTCTAGTGGTGGTATCAGTCTAGTGGTGGTATCAGTCTAGTGGTGGTATCAGTCTAGCAGGGGTATCAGTCTAGTGGTGGTATCAGTCTAGTGGTGGTATCAGTCTAGTGGTGGTATCAGTCTAGTGGTATCAGTCTAGTGGTGGTATCAGTCTAGTGGTGGTATCAGTCTAGTGGTGGTATCAGTCTAGTGGGGGTATCAGTCTAGTGGTGGTATCAGTCTAGTAGTGGTATCAGTCTAGTGGGGGTATCAGTATAGTGGTGGTATCAGTTTAGTGGTGGTATCCATCTAGTGGGGGTATCCGTCTAGTGGGGGTATCAGTTTAGTGGTGGTATCAGTCTAGTGGGGGTATCAGTCTAGTGGTGGTATCAGTCTAGTGGGGGTATCAGTCTAGTGGGGGTATCAGTCTAGTGGTGGTATCAGTCTAGTGGTGGTATCAGTCTAGTGGGGGTATCAGTCTAGGGGTATCAGTCTAGTGGGGGTATCAGTCTAGTGGTGGTATCAGTCTAGTGGGGGTATCAGTCTAGTGGTGGTATCAGTCTAGTGGTGGTATCAGTCTTCTGGTGGTACCAGTCTAGTGGTGGTATCAGTCTAGTGGTGGTACCAGTCTTGTGGTGGTATCAGTCTAGGGGTATCAGTCTAGTGGTATCAGTCTAGTGGTGGTATCAGTCTAGTGGTGGTATCAGTCTAGTGGGGGTATCAGTCTAGTGGTGGTATCAGTCTAGTGGTGGTATCAATCTAGTGGGGTATCAGTCTAGTGGGGTATCAGTCTAGTGGGGGTATCAGTCTAGTGGGGGGTATCAGTCTGTAGGGGGTATCAGTGTAGTGGGGGTATCAGTGTAGTGGGGGTATCATTCTGTAGTGTGGGTAACCAGTCTGTAGTGGGGGTATCAGTCTGTAGTGGGGATATCCAGTCTGTAGTGGGGGTATCCAGTCTGTAGTGGGGGTATCAGTCTGTAGTGGGGGTATCCAGTCTGTAGTGGGGGTATCCATTCTGTAGTGGGGGCATCCAGTCCGTAGTGGGGGTATCCATTCTGTAGTGGGGGTATCAGTCTGTAGTGGGGTATCCAGTCTGTAGTGGGGGGTATCCAGTCTGTAGTAGGGGTATCATTTGTAGTGGGGTATCAGTGCATAGTGGGGTATCAGTCTGTAGTGGGGGTATCAGTCTGTAGTGGGGGTATCAGTCTGTAGTGGGGGTATCAGTCTGTAGTGGGGGTATCAGTCTGTAGTGGGGTATCAGTCTAGTGGGAGTATCAGTCTGTAGTGGGGGTATCCAGTCTGTAGTGGGGGTATCAGTCTGTAGTGGGGGTATCAGTTTGTAGGGGTATCAGTCTGTAGTGAGGGTATCAGTCTAGTGGGGGTATCAGTCTGTAGTGGGGTTATCCAGTCTGTAGTAGGGGTATCCAGTCTGTAGTGGGGGTATCCAGTCTGTAGTGGGGGTATCAGTCGGTAGTGGGGGTATCCAGTCTGTAGTGGGGGTATCCAGTCTGTAGAGGGGGTATCAGTCTGCAGTGGTGGTATCTAGTCTGCAGTGGTGGTATCTAGTCTGCAGTGGGGGTATCTAGTCTGCAGTGGTGGTATCTAGTCTGCAGTGGTGGTATCTAGTCTGCAGTGGGGGTATCTAGTCTGCAGTGGGGGTATCTAGTCTGCAGTGGGGGTATCTAGTTTGCAGTGGGGTATCTAGTCTGCAATGGTGGTATCTAGTTTGCAGTGGGGGTATCCAGTCTGCAGTGGGGGTATCCAGTCTGCAGTGGGGGTATCCAGTCTGCAGTGGGGGTATCGAGTCTGCAGTGGGGGTATCGAGTCTGCAGTGGGGTATCCAGTCTGCAGTGGGGGTATCCAGTCTGCAGTGGGGATATCCAGTCTGTAGTGGTGATATCCAGTCTGTAGTGGGGGTATCCAGTCTGTAGTGGGGGTATCCAGACTGTAGTGTGGGTATTGAGTCTATAGTGGAGGTATCCAATTTGTTGGGATGTCTAGTCTATAGTGGGAGTATCCCATTTATAGTGGGAGTATCAATTCTGTAGTAGCCAGGCTGTGATGGACATGTGGGTCAGCAGGCCTCCAGCAGCTACAGTCTGGTTGACTAGGCTGGCACCAGATGAGCCGGGCCCATGGCCAGGCTCCGGGATTAGTAAGTCTCGTAAAGTTCATCAAAAGTATATCTGGTGCTAGTGGGAGTATCCAGTCTGTAATTGGGGCATCCAGTCCGTAATGTGTATATCCAGTCTGTAGTGGGGGTATCCAGTTTGTAGTTGGGGTATCCACTCTGTAGTTGGGGTATCCACTCTGTAGTTGGGGTATCCACTCTGTAGTTGGGGTATCCACTCTGTAGTTGGGGTATCCACTCTGTAGTTGGGGTATCCACTCTGTAGTTGGGGTATCCACTCTGTAGTTGGGGTATCCACTCTGTAGTTCGGGTATCCACTCTATAGTTGGGGTATCCAGTCTGTAGTGGGGGTATCCAGTCTAGTTGGGGTATCCAGTCTGTAGTGGGGGTATCCAGTCTGTAGTGGGGTATCCAGTCTGTAGTGGGGATATCCAGTCTGTAATGGGGATATCCACTGTAGTGAGGGTATCCACTCTGTAGTGAGGGTATCCACTCTGTAGTTGGGGTATCCACTCTGTAGTTGGGGTATCCACTCTGTAGTTGGGGTATCCACTCTGTAGTGGGGATATCCAGTCTGTAGTGGGGATATCCAGTCTGTAGTGGGGATATCCAGTCTGTAATGGGGATATCCAATCTGTAGTGGGGGTATCCACTCTGTAGTTGGGGTATCTAGTCTGTAGTTGGGGTATCCAGTCTGTAGTTGGGATATCCAGTCTGTAGTTGGGGTATCCAGTCTGTAGTTGGGGTATCCAGTCTATAGTTGGGGTATTCAGTCTGTAGTTGGGTTATTATTTGCTGTAGTGAGGTTATTATTTGCTTTAGTGGGGTTATTATTTGCTGTAGTTTGATTATTTGCAGTATTGGGGTTATTATTTGTTTTAGTTTACCTGGAGAGAGTTCCGGGGGTCAACGACCCCACGGCCCGGTCTGTGACCAGGCCTCCTGGTGGATCAGAGCCTGATCAACCAGGCTGTTACTGCTGCTGTGGGGTTATTATTTGCTGTAGTTTGATTATTTGCAGTACTGGGGTTATTATTTTCTTTAGTGGGGTTACTATTTGCTGTAGTTTGATTATTTGCTGCAGTGGGGTTATTATTTGCATTAGTGGGGTTATTATTTGCATTAGTGGGGTTATTATTTGCTGTAGTGGGTTACTATTAGGAGTATTTATTATTTTATTAACACATCGGCCGTCTCCCACCAAGACAGGGTGGCCCGAAAAAGAAAAACTTTCCTCATCATGCACTCCATCACTGTCTTGCTAGAAGTGCGCTTACACTACAGTTAAAAAGCTGCAACATTAACACCCCTCCTTCAGAGAGCTGGCACTGTACTTCCCATCTCCAGGACTCAAGTCTGGCCTGCCAGTTTCCCTGAACCCCTTCATAAATGCTACCTCGCTCACACTCTAACAGCACTTTATTTGCTGTAGTGGGGTTATTGGCTGTAGCAGGGTATTGTAGTTTGTAATATTGGTGTAAACAGCATTGACTTTATTGGGTTATCTTAGATTATAACTACAATACATAATGTCCTTTTTATGTACTCTGAAAAACATTGTAATTTTTTTTTTTGCATGCTATGCACCCAAAGCTTAAATACAAACTTATTTCTTTATTATACAAAATGTTCTGTATCTGCCAACAGCAAAAAAATTAGTTAAAAATGCGTGAATTTGGTTTAAATGTATGTAGTCCAAATATAAATGTCAAATATATGTAATATACGTGTCTGCTTGTCCAGATTTTGCTCAGCATTCGTACTTGTGCACTTATCATCACTTTTTCTACCACCCAGTAATTATTATAAATAAAATAGTACAGTTTCGTATTATCCTAAAAAATTCTCACATCAGCTGTACTGCTATACAAAGTCATGTTTTAGTGAGCCCAGAATTCTTTGCATAACTAGGGGCTTTTCATAATGTATGAAATAAATGTCACCTATTTTTTGTAACAGTGGTGTACCTATTGAGAATATAAATTTTTTGTTTGTTCATTCACTAAGTAACCATGAATGCCTACAACACATACAGTACGTTATCCAAGGGTTATCCGAGGTTAAATATACAACAAACAACATTTTTGTGCTGCAGACTCACTCTACTACTGTTTAGAATATTTTAGATTTGTCAGGTGAATTTTTCTTAGCTATATACTATCTTACCATATACAAATGTTGTGGGGCTACTCTGATGTATATGTATATGACATATTACTAATTTCATTACAACAGTTAGAGTGGTGTTCATTACCAGAGCATAACACCACAGCACCATACAGGTTTATAATGGCATTTTTGCCATGTTTTAGGAGTGAATACATTTGGGCATGTTAGATTCAGATTACCTAATTAGGTTATGCAGTGATATTTATTTTCAGATTCGGATCACCTAGTTAGGTTTGGCAGTGATATTTTATGCCAGTATCTACAACCCCTACTAAAACATTCCCTGATGAAAGGCTCTTGATTTGAGGAATTAGAGGTACCTTTCCTTGCATCAAATCTGATTATCTCCCATTCCTCTAAGTGCTGT